TTGCTCATTTTCTCTGCTTCGCAAGGTGGGGACCCCGCACAGGTGTGCCCCACAGAAGCAACACTGGCGCTAGGAAAAGTCTGTATTGCAAGAGAAAAGCCAGGGTGATTATCTCTCTTTATAACAGGCTGCTGGCCCAGGTTTCTTTAACGAGGAAGCTCCAAGTATACTCACAAAGAGTATGTATATGGCTGAGGAAATGATCATTTCCAAACTGCGAATGGTGATTACCTCGGGGCTCTTTTACTTTCTTTTGTATATTTTTATATATGATTTGAATTTAATATAATGAGGATGCCTTATGTATATAAAAATCACATGGAAAACAGAAAACTATTTTCATTGGGGAGAAAAGGAAAAATAATAGGCTTCTAGGTGATTTTATCTCTCAATAGATTTAAAAAAAAAAAGTAGAGTCACCAAAAAAAAAAAAAAAAGCCCAAATCCCTTCATCTCTAAACTCACTAGCAAGAACAAGTAGCACATTTGTAGGACTTGATGCCCAAACGCATTTAAAATCATTCAATTTGGAAATCGTTTCTTTCTCTGGAGCTCTCCAGAAGCCAGTGTTTTAGAGACAGTGTCAGCCATCAGGGCACTGCTGTGGCACTGAAGGTGTGGACAGGTGCCACGAGCAAACTCCCAGTGCCGGAGGCTGAGACCCCAACCCATGCGGTACACTGACTCTCAGCAAGCCAACTGAGCTCGCTCAAGTGCCGCTGCATCAGCTGTAAGATGAGCTCATCTCTGGGCCACCTACCTCACAGGTGTCCAGTAAAAACTTAAAACCGAGACGACATATGTACGATTTGCTTTAAAAAGTAAAAGACTAAAGTCACCATAATAAGCAGTGGTAGAAGGGTCAGGATCACTAACGTTCAAGTCGCGGCCATTCCCCCATCTCTTGCAGTCCCTGCCCTGTCCCGTGAGTACGGCCACCGTCTCTGGGAGGATCCTCCCCTCCCTGCTGGGCTGTGCTCTCTGCTCGGCAGGCAGGATGGAGTCCAGGCTCTTTGCTTTTCTGCCCACCCCTCCCAGGACGGTGCTGAGGTTAGTCACAATAGCTAAGATGCCAAATCAACCTGAGTGTCCATCGGCAGATGAGTAAAGAAAATGTGGTGTCTACACCCAATGGAATATTATGCAGCCATCCTGTCATTGGCAGCAAGGTGTGGATGAGCCTGGAGGGCATTATGTTAAGCAAAATGAGTCGGGCACAGAAAGGTACATACTGCATTTTCCCACTCATATGTTGGGAGCTAAAAACAAAAATTGAGCTCATAGAAGTAGAGAGTAGAATTGTGGTTATTTGGAGGATGGGAAGGTGGGGGGAGGGGAGGATAAGGAGAGATTGGCTAAAGGATGCAAAGTTACAGTTGATGGGAGGTGTAACCTCTAGGTTCTGTAGCACTGCAGGGTGAATACAGTTAACAGTAATTTACTGTACATTTTCAGAAATCTATAAGAGAGGATTTTGAATGTTCACAACACAAAGAAATAATAACTGAGGTGAAGGATATGCTGATTACCCTGATCTGAGCATTACACATAGTATACATGTATCAAAACTTCACCCTGTGCCCCATAAATATGTACAATTATTACATGTCAACTAAAAATAAAAGGAAAAATAAAAAGATATTCCTCAGGACCTGTAAGCAAATATCCCATTACAGGAAGACCAGGTTTCCAATTTCGCTTCCCCTCCCCAATCTCTGAGAGAGATCTTCTAAAGCAAAAATAACATATTTGTCCAGGAAAAAAAAAAAAACACCTGATTTATTTCTATGGTTTCACATATATCTGGCGAGGAGAGAAATAGAGGGTTCATGTCAGGGTTCATGAGTACCATGAAATCAGCACAGTGAAGCGACTAAGAGCTTAGATTTTAGAGTCTGAAACACCGGGTCCCTTTCCTGGCTCAGTCACTCATGTACCGTGTGGCATAGACTAGTTTCTTATCCTTTCGTCTCAGTCTGCTCACCTAGGAAGTGGAGCTGGGATTCCTGACTCAGAGCAGCGATGACTGCATGAGCTCGTGAATGCAGAGTGCAGAATAAACAGCCTGGTGCACGTGAGCACATAAAACACTAGCTGTCACCGTCACCATCATCCAGAGTCAGCAGCCAAACTTCCAGTCCCCTGCTACATTCAAAGACCTGTCCAAGGCACTGAAGGATGCTCAAGGCTCTACTCAGGAAGAATGTCTGAGAGATTTGAGAGGTTGTCAAGCATAACAATGAATTTAAATATATTCAAGAAAAACTATCATTATCATCACTTCTGAATTACAAAGTGAATCGTGTCACATAAGCATTCACTTCTAACCATACAAATAATTCAAACTAACTAGCTGAAAAAGCAAGGTAAGAGCAAAGAAGCATCCATTTGCCTGGAATATTTGTTCGCTGGTTGCTCCTGTTTTTAAATTGGTTGCTTCTTAGGAACTGGCCCACAATCCCAGCGAAAGAGATGCTTTGGCTACTTTAGTTTCAAAGTCCATAGGGGCGAGACGGTAGCTACATGGCCATCCCTGTCACCACCAACTACAGCTTTTTACGGGACCTTTATCCACGTCTCTGGTCCGTTGTTCTCGGACATCCTCCCTTCCTCCCCAAACATGGAGTCCCTGCAGCTAGACTCGTTGATCACCATACAGAACAGCCCGTACCTCATAATGTAAGAATGTTCTGCACTATTGCTACAAACCATTAAACTTTAAAGCACAGAATAGCATTCGTGCTTCCAGCTTTGTAAGAAGATAAAGCACTGACTTCATTGCCATTTGTTTCATAATTTACTCACATTACAGCCCTGAAAACATTCCACTGTTCTGGCCCCACTGGCTGCCGTGAGGGAGGAGCCTCCGCCTGTACAGCAGCGCCACTGTGCTGACCCTCGGGGTGAACCCAAGTACACTCTGGCTCTGGCGAGGTTCCCAACAGCTGGGGCTCTGGCCTCCAGATGAAGGGCCTTCGCTGTAGATCAGCCACCCTCACCATCAATACAGCCCACTCGGAAGGAGCGGCTGGCCGGCTTTGTGCTGAGTGGATGGTTACAAGATTAGTAACAGAGAGGGGTGACCTTTGCTAAGTGCTCTCTGTACTTCTCCTCATCCAGAGACCCAGGAGGCAGTGAGGCAGCTGACCTTGATGTGCTGAAAAGCAGAGTGAAATGGAAAAAGATTTGCTGCTGGAGATCCTGGAGCCCAGAATTAACTTACTCCAAGCATCCACCTTTGCTCCCAGTTCGGAATCCATTCAGTATAGCTCAGGCGAAGCCAACTTCCAGAGAATTAACAAGTCGCTGCCAGTTCTTCTTGGTCATTCTTTATCGGAATGTCATTCTGGAAGCCCCCTATTAAATTTGCAAGACCCTAGGGGAAGGCACCCTATCTTTTGTATCTTTATGTTCAATTTCTTAGCACAAATGGCTGGCACAGAGCAAGCTTGCAGTAGATATTTGTGAAGTGATTGAGTAAAAGCAAACATCATACTTTAGATTAGTTTTTGGAGGAATCACCAAGCTTTTGAGGAATGGTGGAGTGACCTTCCAACTCTGGTCACACCATGACTAGAGATGAACGTTCAGCTACACAAACACACACACACACACACACACACACACACACACATGCCTTCCCCTCCTCGACACCCCATTGTTTCCCTAAACCAGACGTCAAGCACTAGGATGCAGGCTTTCTGGAACATACCTCTCTGGAATTCCCAGCGCATGTTGATTCTATGAGTAAGAGTCAGACACTGGCTACCACTATCTGTCATCGGATAATATCCTTTTCCTCCAACTAGCCAACTGGATTTTGAACCTGAAATACCCTTAGAAGGATATTTTCATTTCTGGCTGCAGCCTGAGCCAGACAAGGCGGGCAGGTTACAAGGGTCACCGCGCATTCCTGCTGGCGCTCACCAGCCAGCATCCACCCCTCACAACGGCACTGTCACCCTAAAGGCCTTGCTCACCAGCCAACCTCCTCTTAACCCTATAATTCTGAGACACTTGACTCTCCATTGCTCCTGCAGGGTGGCCTAAGCCGGTGGCTGTTTTCTACTGTCTGGCTGTCTCTGCTATACTAGCTATAGGATCTGGTTTGCCACTCTCTGTCCAGAACGATTTAAGAATTTCTTTCCTGAAAGTGCTTTCCAGATATCTGTCTCCAATGTGGGCCAGCAGGGATCGATTTCTTATCAAAAATGTGCCAGGGGTAAACACTACGGAAAGGCGAGCGTCTCCTCGCTCCCTGTGGACACCTCCCCTTTGGAGTGGGGCAAAGAGGAAAGCTGTCACTGGGTCCTCTAGAGCCAGGCCCAGAGCAGGGACCCAGCGTGCTGGGGGCTTGGGGATGACCCACATTCATACCTCTTCGTTAATTAGATTGTAAAGAATTCAAGATCGTATCCATCACTTCTTTTCAACGATTTCATCTTTATTATAAATTACTGCTTTAATGATTTGAAATTGTTACAAATCACTTGTTAATATTAGAATATGTCTAAGGATTTCCTACGGAAATATATGACAAATAATTTCTTTATATGGTGCATTTATAATTGTATAGGCTGCATCATCAAGTATATATTGGGCAGGAGAGAACTTCTATTTTGACAAGGCATTGATGAGAATTGAATCCTCAGTGTAAAGTTTTACACATCTGGCCAGGCGTGGCGGCTTATACTTGAAATCCCAGAACTTTGGAAGTCTGAGGCAGGAGGACTGCTCAAGGCCAGGAGTTTGAGACTAGCCTGGGCAACATAGTGAGACCCTGTCTCTAAAAAAAATATAAGAAAAATTATCTGGGTGTGGTGGTATGCACCTGCAGTCCCAGCTACTCAGGAGCCTGAGGCAGGAGGATCATTTGAGCCCAGGAGTTCAAGGCTGCAGTGAGCTATGATTGTGCCACTGCACTCCAGCCTGAGCAACAGAGTAAGACCTGCCTCAAAATAAATACATAAATAAATAAATAAATAAATAAAAGGACATACCTGCTCATGGGAATTTGTCACAGAATAGCTTCTGGTTCCTTCCATTTCAAATCTTGATTTTCTTCTATCATCCACATGCTTCGGGTGCCAGGTCCCTTAGTGCCTGTTCCCCTCAGCTCAGGCATGGAACTGGCTGAGTCAGCACAATGGGCACCAGAAGTATTTCTTGAAACCACTCCTACACAAGAGTGGCTGGGAATATTTAACTATACACAGAAGTGACTGTGAGCCTCATAACTATATCCCTCTAACCCAACAAAGTGTTTGCTCAACTCCACCTCCCTTAGGCCAACCCCCAAAATGCCTACAGCACCAATTCCAGGGGAGAGTAGAATAGGTATGAAATGACACTAGAAGGAGACAGTGATCTTAACCAACTATAGTTCATTTATCTTACTTGTACAGCTTTTATACAAACATATGACCACCTTCCTAGGCCCTCACATAGCTCTGAAAGTGAAGGGGCCTGAGCTGAGGCTTTGATTGATATAAATCCCCTCTGGCACCAGCCAATCAGAACAGACGCCAGCTATGAGCTGCCGGCCCTGTCTTCTGGCACCTGCTGGCTGATCAATTGTCCCTGAACCCTGACTACTGATGTTCTTAAATATCTGTTGATGATACGTGCCCACAAAGACTAGATTCTCACTCTAACGTGTTCCGAGTTCTGTTTTGCCATCCTTTCCTTTTGTTAAACGGTTCCTTCTTGCCTTCCTATAAACTCTACTTTGCTATATTCTCAATCTCTTCCATTTTTGTTATTGCAGCCTTGATCTGCATACAGTAGGCATTTTAATGTATGTATGAAGGGGCTTTATAAAGGCAGGACCCCAGAACATACCTATCTCCCAAAAAGGATGTAAGAGTAGCTTTAATTAAAAGGCAAACTATGTAGATCAAAGAAAGGTATTAAGTAATAAATTAATGAGCCAACTGACCGAGTTATGGAGAGTCTTAGGAAGTGTCTTCCGCCCTCAGCTCCAGTCGGGAGCCCCAGATAAGTGTCTGTTTCTTGCTTTCTCTTCTGCTAGAATGGATGCGTGTTGAGGGCAGGAATTGCATCCTTTGACTCACGCGTCCAGCATGGCAAAGTGTGCAGCCAGCTTTACTGAACGGATGACCAAACAAGGTGAAGTTCCTTCTTTGTTGATGGTTAGGAGTCACTGGAAACCCTGGCAAACGTGCTTCTGGCAAAGGTGAAGGGGAGGAAATCAGATCAGAGAAATTCCGGAAGAGTGTTGTTTATGAAGGAAGCTCCGTGTGCATGCGTGTCGCAGGATGGGGGAGCGAGGGGACGGGAAGTGCGGCTATAAACAGGGCCAAACATCTGCGTTTTATGTTGTAAAAGGCTGCACTCGAAAAGAGGGGCTAGTACCCAAAGCAAAGAAGGAGGGAGCTGGGGGACAGAAAGCAGGGCAGGGAGGAGGGTGACCTGAGCGGGTTGCAGGGTGTGGAGTCCTGCATCTGGCCCCCCTGTCAGGAAATGCTCACCTAAAGGGCCACAACACCAGGGATGACCTCACAGGAGAGACATCAGAAAGGAGGTCACAAGAGTCACAGGCAACGGGAGAGAAAGCGACACTTACGAATGGCAGCCACACAATTGGAATGCCAGGAAAGGCCCTGCTGGGGGACAAGGTGCATCTTCCTCAGCCGAACTCATGACCACAGCACAGCAGCTCCTTTTCGACTTCCCTCTAGCCACAAATCATTCATTGCGTTTCACCAGCGTCCTCCGGGATCGCCGTCTCCCATTTCCACCGAGGAGTCCTTGGGGCGACAGGTGAGGACCGGGCCTCAGAGCGGTTAGGGAAGAGCCTCACGACCCACGCTTCATTTTGGGCTCATGGTTTACACGCACCTGGTCTTTTCCCGCCCTTCCGCTCCAAAGTTGACAAAAGCCCTTCGGGAGATGGGTGCACATTTGACCCAAGTGAATCCCTCCCCGGAGTCGTGACGTTTTAATCTTGCCTTAATTCAATGTGTCTCCTTCCCCAGTCAGCCAGGTCTGCGTTGGATTTCAATGTAAAGTTGGGCAAGTGCCGACTCTCCCACCCAACATGGTGTCACGCACAAACTGAATGGCCACACCATCCACTAATTCAGGTAAAAGAGCCAGAAAGAAGGGTGCTCGTTTCCTCTTAAATTAGCCTTTCCCGCTTTTTTTCCCCCTCTATGCCTATTTGATTCTTTGACCTCAACACAAAGCGAACACAAATCTAGAAAGAGAGAGTGAGAGAAGTTCATTCTAGAAGCAAAAGAGAGAGCCCTCTCCCTGTCATGGGCTGGCAAGAAAGCCTGAAACTCTGTTGCCATGTTGCCTGGCAACCTAGGAAATATTGTTGTGATTAAACAAAAACTATGTGGAGTAAATTCACAATGGAATGGCTGAAAAGGGTTATATCATCCTGCATTCCGCTGCTAAGACATGAGCAGCAGACACCTTGCCACAGTTCGCCCCTCCCTCGAAAAGCAAGAAAACAAACACACTGACATCACCGAGAAGCAGCCTAGGGGACAAGGAAATGCCCGGGACTGGGATCAGAAGTCTCGGGCAAGTCCCACAACCTTTGGAGCAGTCAGTTTTTTTCATCCGCGAAAAGAACAAGTGGAATTAACGAGCCCTGACATTTTATGATTTAGAAGAAACAGTAAAAACGGGGAGCATCGTACCAGTCATCTTCCTGAACTGCAGCATTTATTATACTCATGTAGGCCATGAACAATGACACCCAGGCCTAAAGGACCTGCAGTCATCCATCTTGCCTTAAATAAAACCCACAGTGGGGTTGGTCGGGTTCCTATATGCTATTGATGCCCCTGTCATTGCAAGTAACTCCCCTAGTTTAGAAAAAGCAGAAACTCAGCGTTATGAAAACTGCTCATCTCGTTAAGACAGAAATACCTCCTAGAAATTTCTTTTAAGACTCTTACAGTGAGCAACCCTGGAGTCAAGGAGCCCTGGCAAAATTATAGCAATTTATTTGTGGAAAATTACAAATGAGTAGACTAAAAAAATATTCAAAAAAAGGAGCTGCAGTTGAAAATTGAAAACGGCAGCAACAAAGTTTTGAAGAGTGTAGTGTGGTGGTTAATAGTCAAACGCTCTGGGTTCAAATCCTGTCTCTGCCACTTACTGGTTGGGCTGTTATTAAAATTCTCTGCATCTTGGTTTATCCATCTGTATGTGGACATAAGAGTAGCACACACCCCTCATATGGTTACTGTAGGAATGAAATGAGTTAGTAATATGCTCAGAATAGTGGCTGAAACATAGTTAGCTGCTGTTGTTATTTCCAGCATGAGCCAAGAATTGTTCATACCAGTGCTGGAGTCAGCTGGGCCTGGATTCAAAGCCCAGACCACTGGTTATCAGCAGTTGACCTCTGTGCAAGCTTCTTAACCTCTCTAAGCATCAGTCTCTTCATCTATAAGGTGGGAATAATCATAGTCGACCATATAGAGTTGCAAGGATTGAGTGAGATAATACTTGCGTATACACAGCACAATATCATGCATCATTACTGTCCAGGATTCATCAAGAAATCTCTCTGCAATTTCTTTAGTTTCTCATTGCTTTATCCATGCTATAAAAAATAACAATGAATGGTTAAAATGGTAATTTTTATGTTATTTATGTGTATTTTACCACAATAAAAAAATTAGAACAAAAATAATATTGGCTGCCAAGAATTTTCAATGAGGAAAGAATAGGCCTTTCAACAAATGTTTCTGGGAAAACCAGATATCCACATGCAAAAGAATGAAATTTCCTCATACCATATACAAAGATCACCTCGAAATGGGTCAAAGACCTAACTGAAAGAGCTAAACAATTCAACTCTTAGAAGAAACATAGACATAGGTCTTTGTGGTCATGGATTAGGCAATGGTTTCTTAGCTATGATACCAAAAGCACAAACAACAACCATAATAAAATAGATAAACTGGACACCGTCAAAATTAACAACTTTGGTACCGCAAAGAACACTGTCAATGAGCTGAGAAAACAATCCACAAAAATGGGAGAAAATATTTGCAATCATATATCTGATAAGGGACTTGTATCTAGCATATATAAAGAACTTTTACAAGTCAATAATAACAAGACAAATTACCCAATTAAAAAATGGGCAAAGGGCCTGAGCAGATATTTCTCCAAAGAAGATTTGCAAGTGGTCAATAAGCACATGAAATATTCTGAACATCATTAGCCAACAGGGAAGGGCAAATCAGAACCATGCTGAATCGCTTCATACCCACCAGGATGAACATAATAACAAAGACAGAAATAACAAGTGTTGGTGAGGACATGGAGAAACTGGACCCCTCATTTCCACCGTTAGTGCAGACATAAAATGGTGCGGCCATCTGTTTGGAAAACAGCCTGACAGTTCCTCAAAAGGTGAAACACAGAGTTACCACTTGATCTGGCAATTCAACCCGTAGGCATATACCCAAAAGAAATAGAAACACGTCCACACAAAAACTCACACACAAATGCTCACAGCAGCATTACTCATAATGGTCAAAAAGTGTAAACAACTAAGATGTCCATCAACTGATGTATATAGATAAATGTGTTATATACATAAAATGGAACAATATTCAATAATAAAAAGGAATTAAGTACTGTTAAAGGCTACAGTATGAAAACTGTACTTGAAAACCTCGAGAAAAGCCAGTTGCAGAAGAACACGTATGATTCCATGAAATCATACGCTATTGCATGAAAAAGCAAATCCAGAATAGGGGATTCCATTTGCAATAGAAAGTAGATCAGTGGTTCCCTAGAGGTGAAGGTGTAGGGAGAGTGGTTGGGGGCAATGGGGAGTATCCCGCTCCAGCCTCATCATCTCCTACCTTGGTGTCTTTGTTCTGCAGTCCCCCTGCCCCTCTTCTCCCATCTCTACATTTCTATCACATCCACCCTTGAAAACCTAGTACCAATATCTTCACTTTCAAGAGGCCTTTCCTGATCGTCTCTGGGGTAGACGTACACTCAGGGTTCCCACCGCCCAACGCCGGGAGTGGGAACATTCATCCCTTTCTGCCCCGCGTACAGGTATGCAGTGCCGGTTCATTTCCCCTGTGAGATCGCAGCTTCCTTTAGGGCAGGGGCCTTATCTGATGCATTTTTTTGCCCTCACCATTCCTTGCACATATCAAGCATTCAGTATTTTTATAATGAATGAATGGATCACTAAACGAATGAATCCCACAGCAAGATCCATCCTAGGGAAGTTATAATGTGAAGAAAAATTTCTCTTTGGTGTCTCCAGCCAACCTAGTCAGTTGCCCTCCCCTGCTAGGAGTATGTGTCCTCCCACCCAGCTCCCCAGGGACTTCACACCTACTTTCTCAAACAGAACCTGCCTTTGGAAAAGGACCTGATAAACTCATTCAAACGACC